GTAACCCCTGTCTGCAAAACTTACAATTGGCAGGGAAGTTTGGACATATACGTGCGTTGCAGTTGATTTCTTCCTTGCTACTATAGCGGAAACCTGAAAATCCACCATTTTTTCGGAGCTTATCTCTGGCTCTGGGAAATCTGGGCGACACTTATTTCCGTGCTAGTTCCTCTTTTGGTAAACCTTGATTTATTTTGTTTGTTGATGTATCAAGAGAAAAATGACCATGAAGAGAACATCTTCACAATTTCCCACGCTAAGCTCAGCCATTTGTTGTGGCTCAGGCGGAGAAGCTGAAGCTCAGAAAGTGCCAGTGGAGTTGGGAAACTCAGCTTTGGAATGTCCAACTTTCGTAGGTTTCTGGTGGTGCAGGGCAATGTGGTACCCTCTGGTAATGACTAACAGTTTGCGAACTTTAAAATGGCCCCTTTATAGTTGATTTACCTATGAAAAATGGTGATTTTCCATAGTTTTTTGTAAACGTTTACCAGAGGGTAAACCCAATCGTAAACCATCCCAAACTGGTTTTTCTGTAGTTACGCATGCCACAATGCCACATTTCATCACGATGTTTAGATGATGAAAAAGAAATCATGATCAAAAAGTAAGAAATCACGTTTCCACCCCTATTGGGCCTTCATATCACTGTTAGATTTATGGTGATGTAACTCATCTAACTCATGGAACATGAAGTTTTACAAAAAAAAAACTTATGCAGATCATTCTAGAAACGAAGTGTGTTGTTTTGAATGATTCTGCACACAGTCCATACAGATGGTGTGAATCATTCACTCCTGAAATTTGTGTTTCGGGTCTTCAAGTGAAGACCCTGGTTGCTTGTCTGTCTCTTGCCATCTTCGGATATTGTACGGTGATGCCCCCAAATTGCTAAGTTAACGCACATTTCACTTGACGTTTAGGTTTCTGGGGATATAACTATAGTTCATGGGCTTTATAAACCAACGTTCACATCACTGGGGGGCCTCACCTTGTAAGGATATGTGCAAAAAGCCTTGGTTTTGGAGCCAGAAATTTAAGTGTCGGACATGTTGGTGAAAAAAAAATCCCCATCATCCCCATCTTGGCCCATTTCTGTTGGTGAAATCCCCCAAATTCATCCAAATTCAAGTAGTCAAAACGGACTTCTCGGTGAATTCGAAATTCGCTTCAGGTTGCGCTTACCGGCCACCACTTGTGCGCCAGCCCAGAGAGATGGTGGCACCGTCGCCGAAAAATTGGTGCTTGTGAACCCAGGGTATTTACATACATATATATATATATATGTATGTAATGTAATGTAATGTAATGTAATGTAGTGTAATGTAATGTAATGTAATGTAATGTTGTAATGTAATGTTGTAATGTAATGTAATGCAATGTAATGTAATGTAATGTCATGTAATGCAATGTAATGTTGTAATGTAATGTAATGTAATGTAATGTAATGTAATTTAATGTAATGTAATGTAATGTAATGTATGTATGTATGTATGTATGTATGTATATTTTAATATTTGCATATTATACATATACACATAAATTGCATATATATATATATATGCTCAATTGGTAAAACTGACGCACTTTGAGACTGTTGTTGTTTGGGGTTGTTTGGGAATTTTGTCATATGCTGAAGCCCGTTAGAAATGAACCTGATAGCAGAATGATCTATACAGGGTGAGGTTCGGTAATCAGAAGTTTCTTCAATCAAGTTACAATCGTAACATTGATTGCCCTATGGTCCATGGTAATTTAACATAGCTATGGAAAATGGATGACAATTGTCTTTTTTCATGGGTAAATCAACGAACCACATGACAATTTTGAATAGCTATATTAAATTACCCGAGGGTAAGTATGATTAATACTTATTAGTTGGCTTATAAATCCCTAGAGCTCTGTGGTTGGTGGTTTGGAACATGTTTTAAAAATCACCATTTTTAGTGGGTAAATCAACGAACTAAATGGACCATTTTCAATAGCTATGTAACAAATTACCAGAGGGTATCCCATAAATTCCCTCCCATTGACTAATAAATGGGATGTCATCCGAAACCCATTGACGAACTCCATCATTTTTGAAGATGGGAAGAAACCACCAACATCCACCAACCAGATTACTATAGGTGAAACACCCCGATAAACCCACCAGTTTACCAGTCGTGGTCCGTCAACTGGCTACGCGATTTCGTAGCCGGGCCTCACATTGATCCATTTTCTGGTAAAATTGGTGCGCGTAGCGTTGATTCTTCTTATTGATTGTTGTGGTCTATTTACCCAACATATCCCAATCTATTTATTATGGCTGATTCGGGCGTATTACCTTCTTATTTTTCTTATTTATTTCTTCTCACATTCCCTAACACAATTATACATGATTGAGGTAATTTTGGTTCGAGTGTAGTTTATTCATAGGTCAGCATTGACACATCCTAACATGGATGATGAAATGAGGACGGAAAGGAACTTCGAGGGACCCCACATTGAGATTCCTATATGCAGAAAATGGGGATTCATACATATATATATATTATTTTTAGGTATATATTAAAAATTGTGCATATAGATTTATAATATTATAACTTAGCACTAACCATAAATGGGATAGAATGGGATATATAACCACTTTGATCTTTGGGCGTGGAGTCTGCGGATTGTCCCTCGAACGAGCCCCGCACACAATGGAGCTGCCGACGACGGGACTGTGGCCTTTCTCCCCAAGCAGCTGGCCGTTTTTTATCGGAAAGATCAACGCCTCGAGCCGTTCAGGGCGGGCCCTGGCTTGCTGTGTGTATAATATATATATATATGTTAGTAAGAATAACAATGGTAATAATCAAATGAAAATGGTTCATGATGATGATGATGATGATGATGATGATGGAATGGGGTAAACTAGTTTTCGAGAAGTCTATATTAGGTAAATGATGACAAGTGATTTACCAAACCGGCTTTTCATCTCTTTTTCAACCCTCGAGAACATAGATATTCCATCCATTTTCATGTTGATCCCAAATTGACGAATGTTTCTGGGACGGGTTCAGACCATTAACCAGCCCAAGATTCACAGATCCTTTCAATACTTGTGATCATTCCACTCAAAAGTGATCCCAAACATAAACCAATCAGAGATCATCATCCTACTGTTGGTTGTATCTCCCATAAATTATCACCACGTTCCATCACTTTCCCTCAAAATATTCCCATGATATTCATTATTCTGGGATAATCTATGAGATCTACATATCTATATCTATCATAAACTCCTGTGAAATATTCTTCCTGGTAATTCACACCCTGGAAAAACACAAAAAATTGCAGTTTTGTTTGGCAGTTGCTATAGTCAAACAAACACATTGTGACATTGTTGTACTCAAACGCATTACTTTGATTCTTCCATCTATACATCTAATCTATATATACATAATATATATATATATATATACATAATATATATATATACATAATATATATATATATATACATAATATATATACATAATATATATATATACACATAAATTATTTATACAATATATATATATACATAATATATATATTCCATTAAAACCCCATATTGTCAAACCAATCAGTGTCCCATTCAACTTTCATTGGTTTAACTGCATTGCTATTAGCCGGATGGCTCGGTTCGTGACATCATCACCGTGTTTGCTGCCCAGTTTTGGTGCCTCAAGCCTTGGGCGAGGAGCAAGTTGCCATTGTTTGGTTCCTACTGTGGATGGGGGTTTATATTGCTTTTTGTGGATTTATAATAGGATAATATGGATTTTTATGGGTTTATATGGGATATAATGATATGGGTGTTATATATATATATATATACTGGTAGGTGGTTTGGAACATGTTTTATTTTTCCAGGTATTGGGAATAATCATCCCAACTGACCAATATTTAAACAAAACATCACATGCACACACACACGCGCAGGCACACACACACACAAACACACACAAACACACACACACACACATTCAAACACATGCAAGCACGCGCAAACACACAGACAAACGCTAACAGCACAAACCAAACCCTAGCACTTGGGACAATGGGGCCACACAGGTGTGACCTTGTGCCCCGGTTTCAGAGCAAGGCGCAGAGGGTAGCGGCTGCCAAACGAATCTCCGTGGGTTGATCGGAATGGAGTCAATGCCACGGCCCGGTTTACCTCGTTGCTGGAGCTTTATGAACGGTTGGGGGAAAGATACCAGGAGCGTTGCTGCGCCGAACCTGAAGAACCTCAAGGAGGAAGAATCCTTCACTTCAATCCGGTGTTTGGAATCGAGGCCATTATTGAATCAGCAAAAATTGCATGTGAACAGGTGAAGCAGAAAAGAGAGATAGTTCTCGTATGCCCATCTAGATACCACCAATTTGTTGCGCAAGAGTTGCAAGGACTTGGAATCAAGTATGTTGAAGCAAAGCTACCCAAGCAGCGAGGCCAAGGTGAAAATGTGGGCAAGGTCCTGAAAGTCCAAGTTTACGCATCTCAGCAGATGTAAAAAAAATGATTGATGGGAATGCCAGGCTAGGGCTCGGTGTTTTCACAACGATGAGACAGAGACATCTTTAATGATCATTTGCTCATCAGGCGATGGTTTGTTAAACAAACCAAAAACAAGATGCAGCCCACGAACCCGAATGTTCACACGTATGTTAATGGTACAGATGTCAAAACACATAGATATGCAATCACGCAGAACGCTTTTCTGCAATAGTTTATTTGAACAGTCTTGTACATATTTTCCCTGTTACCAGTCTGCAGTGTGGAGTGTAAAGTGAGGAGTGTGGAGTGTAAAGTGTGGAGTGAGGAGTGTGGAGTTTGTAAATTGTAGAGTGTGGTGTGTGGAGTGTAGAGTGCAAAGTGTAGAGTGTACAGTGTAAAGTGTGGAGTGTGGAGTGTAAAGTGTAGAGTGTCGAGTGTGGAGTGCGGAGTGAGGAGTGTAAAGTGTAAAGTGTGGAGTGTGGAGTGTGGAGTGTAAAGTGAGGAGTGCGGAGTGTGGAGTGTGGAGTGGAAAGTGTAGAGTGTGGAGTGCGGAGTGTGGAGTGCAGAGTGTGGAGTGTGGAGTGTAAAGTGTGCAGTAAGGAGTGTGGAGTGTGTGAAGTGTAGAGTGTGGAGTGTGGAGAGTGGAGTGTGGAGTGTAAAGTGTAGAGTGTGGAGTGTGGAGTGTAAAGTGTGTAGTGTAAAGTGTGGAGTGTAAAGTGTGGAGTGTGGAGTGTAAAGTGAGCAGTGTCAAGTGCAAAGTGTAAAGTGTGGAGTGAGGAGTGTAAAGTGTGGAGTGTAGAGTGTGGAGTGCGGAGTCTGGAGTGGAAAGTGTCGAGTGTGGAGTGTAGAGTGTGGAGTGTAGAGTGTAAAGTGTGGAGTGTAAAGTGAGGAGTGTGGAGTGTGTAAAGTGTAGAGTGTGGAGTGTGGAGTGGAAAAGTGTAGAGTGTAAGGTGTAGAGTGTGGAGTGTAAAGTGTAGAGTGTGCAGTGAGGAGTGTAAAATGTAAAGTGTGGAGTGTAAAGTGTAGAGTGTAAAGTGTAGAGTGTGGAGTGTGGAGTGTAAAGTGAGGAGTGCGGAGTGTAAAATGTGGAGTGTGGAGTGGAAAGTGTAGAGTGTGGAGTGTAAAGTGAGGAGTGTGGAGTGTAAAGTGTGAAGTGAGGAGTGTGGAGTGTGTAAAGTGTAGAGTGTGGAGTGTAAAATGTAAAGTGTGGAGTGTAGAGTGTAAAGTGTAGAGTGTAAAGTGTAAAGTGTGGAGTGTGAAGTGTAAAGTGTGGTGTGTGCAGTGAGGAGTGTAAAGTGTAAAGTGTGGAGTGTAAAATGAAAAAAGTGTGGAGTGTAGAGTGTAAAGTGTAGAGTGTAAAGTGTAGAGTGTGGAGTGTGGAGTTTAAAGTGTGGAGTGTGGAGTGTAAAGTGTCGAGTGAGGAGTGTAAAGTGCAAAGTGTAAAGTGTGGAGTGTAAAGTATGGAGTGTGGAGTGAGGAGTCTAAAGTGTAAATTATGGAGTGTGGAATGTGGAGAGTAAAGTGTGAAGTGTGGAGTGTGGAGTGTGGAGTGGAAAGTGTAGAGTGTGGAGTGTGGAGTGCGGAGTGTAAAGTGAGAAGTGCGGAGTGTGGAGTGTAAAGTGAGAAGTGTCGAGTGTAAAGTGAGGAGTGTGGAGTGTGGAGTGTAAAGTGAGGAGTGTAAAGTGTAAAGTCTGGAGTGTAAAATGTCAAGTGTGGAGCGTAGAGATGTGTAGAGTGTAAAGTGTAGAGTGTAAAGTGTGTGAGGAGTGAGGAGTGTAAAGTGTAAAGTGTGGAGTGTAAAGTGTAGAGTGTGGAGTCTAAAGTGTAAATTGCTGAGTGTGGAGTGTAAAGTGTAGAGTGTGGAGTGCGGAGCTTCCCCCATAGACACGACGATACCACAGGAAAACCAGAGACTCGAGACGAGAGGTGGGTGCAGAAAAACGAGCATTCTGTGCGAGACTTCCTCCAATTTTGACACTTTCGACACGGTACAAAACATGTTGGAATGTCACAAAGTGCCACGCCTGCCACGCAAAACGACATGACAACCTGCTTGGCAACCTTCGAGAAGGAGAGGTTTTGCAGCTTCCCCCATAGACACTGCGAAGCCACCAGACAACACGTGGGAGCACCAAAACGAGCATTTCGTGCGAGACTTCCTCCACTTTTGACACTTGACGTTTTCCTACGGGTTTTCGTAGGAACTTCTAAATTTGCTACATCAAATCGATGTTTCGTGCGAGGCTTCCGTCAATTTTCATCACAAAATGCCACGCATGCCACGGAATCTGCACCTTGTCGCCACTTGACGCAGCCCTGCCAATGCGATTTGCAAAAACACGCAGCACGACACATCTAAAGTGCTGCGCCTGCCACGAAAACTGCAACGCATCTTTTGAAAACGTCGCAAAAGTATTGCGCCTGCCACACAAAACGACTTTCGACACGTTACAAAACACGTCTGAATGTCACGAAGTGCCACGCCTGCCACGCGAAACGAAGCAACGCGACGTTGGAAACCTCCAAAAATAACCCCTTCTGGAAAACTTACCATAGGCACGGCTACATAGCCATCGCGCGGACGGTTGCGAACGGTTGCGAACACAAACGCAACGTCGAGCGAACACACCCTCAGCCCCCAAACCCCCAGAGTGAAACGGGAACCCTTGCTACTCATTCGGGAAAAAAACTATATCCATCTTTTTTGTGGGTCACTACAATTGTCACAATAGTTGGGCAATAATTGGTATGATTATAGCATATTATAGTTATATAGTCAGTTAACCAACACACACAACTTGGGAGGGCACCGCCGACACCACCTGGAAAGCCTCACATTTGGATGTGCAAATCTGCCTTTGCTGATGGGAAGTGGGGACAATTCTGTGGAAGATAGTGGAATTGTGACCTTCAAAAATAGGGATAACAATCAACAGATCGATATGTCACAGATAATGTTGATACCTATCATATTCAATTGGATATCTATTGATATTTATCATGATATTTATCACCATCAACAGATAGAGATGAAAAATTGAATTTTTGTTAGGTGATTTTTATATCAATGGGATTGGCTGAGTCGATTCCTTAAGCGCAAAGTGAGGTTGTCTGGGGGAATAGAGGTGGGACGTTTTTTTGGCCGAATTACTGGATGGTTCCCAAAGGTGATGATCAATGGTACCAGACCGGCTTTTCTATTTTTCTCAAAAGGACATTAATTTAATTGATTATTTATACGTGGTTCAGTACCCCTTTCTTCATGGCTACAGAGTAACACCAGCATTTTTTCCCCAGGAAACCCCAGCGTTTACTTGTAAAAACCACACGTTTTGCTATGGATGTCCCTTCCAATCAACAATTTTTCCCATTTCTTCATGGGAAAAAACCAGCGTTTCTGAACCGCAGGACGCTATGTCAGACTACATCAGTGAGAACCCTGAGTTGTTGAGTCACCAGACATCGCAGGCCGCGGGCGCTCGCAGCCTTCAGGGAGGAAGGGGAAAGTTTGCAAACGATGGAAATGGGGATTTAAGCGGTTGGATAACTATGAAAGAAATCGAAATTTAGTGGAACTCGGCACAAGTATGATTTTGTTTCCTCAACTCTGGAAATTTGTAGAAATGTTGATTTTCATTTTTCATTGTACTGGAACTATTGTGCAAAGATAACGATTTGGATGCTACCGTCAATCATGGGGATGTTGCCGTGCTTGGTAGGATTTTTTCCATGTCCGAGCACTATTAACCTTGATTACATATAAACCCTTGAGAGATCATTGTCCAATGCTTCTGGATCTGCTTGAAGAGGCAATCCACGTCCAGCTCTGAAGCTTCTGGCTCTGACACCTTGCAATAAAAGCCGCGTGCAACTTGTCTTTTTGACCCGTGCCGAGTACGAACCAGGGAAGTTAGCAAACCCAGTGTCGTGGTTTAAGCCCTCAGTTTTTGAAAAAGACGGCGAGTGTATGGCTCAGGCCGATCTTGAAGGACTCGACATTGCGTCAGTCTTCCTCGGACGAAAAAGATCCAGAAGCCTGTTGCTGTAGCTGGAGCTGCGCGGCTCAAGGACTTTGGCGCTTTCGGAAAGATGCCGGTGAACGAACACCCCAGCGCCGACGTTCGCCCACAAGCTGAAGGCACTTGCAGGAATATGCCATGAGGTATCACTGGTTAGGTAGGTGGGCTTAGTTCTTCCACTTAGGAAATGGAATAACCACGAATGACCCTAGTTAGGGGACTTAGTAGCCAGGGCTATGAACCACTTGCTAAGTGAGATTTTCCTCCACCCTTAGTAGCCTTATAGTCATGTGGTAAAAACCAGAATAAACCCTCAATTTGGGATGGCTTTTACTGTATACCACACATGTCTGGTCATGAAACATTCGGAATGTCGTATTTTGATGTATTTTGTTGTTGGCCTACCAGTTTAATTACCAAATTATGGGTTTACCAAGTTGGCCCTCAGCAATTGAATACCCCAACCAGGGTGTTCAGGGAAGTGTTTAATTTAGGAGGAGGGGATTAACCTTTACATTACTGATCAACAAAAATATTTACTATGACTTATGTATCATCAATTATCCATCATTGACCATCACTAAACCCCTACCATTTTGTGCACATCTGTCAGCCCCTATGGCCCTATGGGTAGGCCCCCCTTGGTTCCGGTAGACCTGGCGACACATGGCAGGCGGTCAGCTTTGAGAAGAGCGTCAGCGACCTGCCGATGCTGGTTGGAAGGCCGAGTCGGACTGAAATCTCGTGGGTTACCTTGAAAAATGCTGGTGAAATAGTGGTGAAATGATGGTGAAATAGTGGTGAAATGCTGGTGAAGTGAAGGATCTTGAAAAAAAAACTTGTAGCAAGTATCGTTCAACGGGATGACACTTGTCCGGGAAACCATGGCAGTCGACGTCTCGACGTGGCCGTGCTAAGCGTGACTTGAATCCCTTGCTTTGGCAGTCATCTGATAGGATGATTTGGCTTGTTTTTCGACTACAAACCGGAGTGCCATCTTATCACAGTTGAACAAATAATCACACATATATATATATAACATAACATAACCTAACATAACATAACGTATCATAGCATAGCATAACATAGCATAACATAACACTGCACTGCGTTGCATTGCATTGCATACACACATACATTTTGAATATGCGCACTGTCACACACACACACTTACATACATACATGCTTACACTGTTGTTTTGAAGGTTTCAGATGGTTAAAGATATTTATAAATGTTTGAATACGATCAAAAAAGGTGGATGTAACAACGTGCTTTCTTTCGATTGGCTCATCCACCGTAACTAACTAATCCAATGGCATCATGGATGGGGGAATAAGCCAAGTTGGTTAGTTGGTGAAGTCGGCAATTGTCATGTCTAGATTTGAGTTCCACATTCCATCAAACTGGCTGGTTGAGCATTTTTTCGGGATGAGACCCCTTCTTCAGAACCTTAGCAAGTAAAATTAAATGATCTGTTTTTTTTTGCCGGAAAGACATTGTCAGTTATTACTCCTCAAAATGCCCGTGGGAGTCCCACCAGATGGGGGTAAAATGACAATGCATGTATCATAAAGAGAGTGGTCAATGGAGGGCTGCCCCAAAAACCATGGGGAAATTGGGTTCATTTTAGGGACCATTCAATTTCAATCATGTCCCCAAGTGTTGGGAAACTTCCTTGCCTCCTGGTGGGGCATCGAGACCACTATCGCCCACATCCCTGTTTGGAGGAGCTTCCCAGGGTTTGAACCAAGCAATAGAGGTGGAAGTACCTCCCGAAAAATAAAATGGAACCGCAAGAAAACATATCTGGAAATGGGCAAGTTGAACACTAGACTGGCGAAGGCTTCGGTGACGGTATCCTATCATTAGAAATCCAGAGAATTCCTCAGGACAAGCTGCGCATCATGCAGAAGTGCTCATGGTGCAGAAGTTTATCCCAAATACACAAGGGGAGCTGTCCAAGCTAAGATGGTTTCCCATGCTGGTGCAAACCAAATTAAATGTGCAAGTTTGCTCCATATGTTAGCTACAACATGCTACAACTAGGATTATCAACCAGTGAATCTCCAGCTTTGCGTGTTAAGATCCGACTGATATTTTGCTCCCAGAATTCAATGAAGGGAACGTTTGTCTGGGCACTTCAAATGTAATCCTTAATCCTTTGCCCCGGATTGCGGATTGTCGTTTTGCGGATTGCGGATATCGAGAGTGGTTTTTATGTAACTGTTCCTGTGCTAGTGACGCTTCTTTAAGAGGCACTCCGTATAGTACGCACTCTACACTACTGCTCTAGACTACTCTTGTACATCTCTACACCGCTTTGCATTACTCTACAAGATCCTTCACTGCTTTGCACTACTTTACAATTTTTATATATAATTATGTGTATATTATATATAATTATAATTAATTATATACTATGCACTACTCTTCACTACCCTGCACAAAACGACTGTGCAACACTCTTCCACCAGTCAGTATGTTCTATATGTGTGATGTTGTCTGATTCTTTCCATTTCCACACTACTCTTCACTACCCAACACTACTTTATGCTACCGTGCATTGCTCTACACTACTTTGCACTGCTCTAGGCTATTTGCACTACTCTACACCACTTTACACTAGTCTACAGTCTACACCACTTTGCATACTCCTGAGTCCTCCCCCCCAACGCAGAGACGTAGAAGCAGCAGCTTACAGAAGCACCTCGGAGTGTTTTCGAAGTGCTTCCGGGCCCGCCCGAAAGCAATCCTTTTGTTACACACTTTTTTTTGTGCCACTTGGAGGCGCGTTCTGAAATTGTTGCCGTCATGCAATTTGAGTATGCATAGGAGCACCGGATTACGCATTGCAACGGATTAGGGTAAGAACCAGGATTGGGAGAATTACGGATATCCTCCGAATTTCGTAGTGCCCAGTTTGTATGAACCCTTCATATGTCATGTAATTATATGTAATTATGTGTGTATATATATAATATATATATATATATATACATACATATACATATACATATATGTATATATCATACATGTATATTATATATATATATTATACAATTGTTAGTAGAAACGATGGTTTCCTACACCCTAAAACCGCTTTTTTGGGGGTTTTGTGTGGCCAGGTGTGCAGGCTTGTGCCACTTTCATGGCATTCAGCAAGCCTCTGGGCAGGACTGGTGATGGCGCAGCCGTGCTGGTGGTATCTGAACCAAGCATTTTACCAGGTTTACTCATTCAATGGGAATTCCAGGATCCTAAAATGGAGGTACTGTACCATATAAGGCCATATTTTGGGGGTATATTCCCTTACATAGGCCTTACATAGGCCTTATATATGGTAGGTACCTCCAATGAATCGGTTCCTGAAATGGCCATTGACTCATCAAGGAATTGTGATTTAATGAGATTAACCAAGAAGCATTGGGGATTCATAAAGAGAATATCATGGGGATATGGGATAATAGTAGGAGAATAATAGGATGATAATAGGATAATGGAAAAATAATGGAATATGTGATCCACAATATCATCTAGTTTGGATGGAGAGCTCAGACGTGGGGCACCTATGAACACACACCCACAATGTGTTGTTTTTTTGCGCAGGCTTGAAATTTTGATGAATACCCATGCAAAAATGATGAAATAGGTTGACAGGTTGACTAAAAAGAGCAAATATAGAAACCCAAAAATCTAAAAAGTGATGATTGCAGACAAACACCTAAGCATTATTCACCATTATTAACCACTATTAGTCGCTATTAACCATTACCAACCATTGATTGCCGGAGGGTAGCGGCTGCCAATCATAGCGACCTGGGTGACCCACAGATTGTGGTTGATCTATGTGATCCCTCAAAATGTGTTGCTTTCTTCCGCCAAATGTGGGTGTATTTTTAAGGAAACATGTGGGCATAATGCTGGTTGGTGGTGACTGGAATCATGGAATGGATTATTTTCCTTTCCATTCAGTTGGGAATGTCATAATCCCAACTGACGAACTCCATCATTTTTCAGAGGGGTAGGTCAACCACCAACCAGAATGTTTAAGGCATCAAGAGGAATATCTAATATATCTAATATATCTAATATATCTAATATATCTAATATCTCTAATATCTCTAATATATCTAATATATCTAATATATCTAATATCTCTAATATCTCTAATATATCTAATATATCTAATATATCTAATATATCTCATATATCTAATATATCTATGTTTTTGCTAATATCAAGAAATTCGTCTGCATTGCATTGCCCATCCATCAATGATATCAGCCAACATCACCTGGCGATGTAGCACTGTGCAACAGGGGTTAAAAGTACTTCCACAATGTGGTCCCCAAGGTACAAGTGATTTCTATGAACCCAATTACCTACAGATCAAATATCAATTGGAGACCACATTGTGGAAGAACCATTGATCTGTCTGTAGATAATTTCTATGATGTCTATTGATCAATTATCTACAGACAGATCAAATATATCCGCCATGATCTTGTTTGATGCGTGGATTAGTCGCGATTGACATGGGCTTGGGTGGAAAAAAAATGCTCGCTCCGAGTCGCGAAAAAACCCCTGCAAGATGTGTTGAGAACTCATTGTTTTCATAGGGGCTACCCTCTGGTAAACTAACATAACTATGGAAAATCACCATTTTCAATGGGTAATTCCACTATAAATTGCAATTTTCAATAGCTATGTAACAAATTACCAGAGGCTAGTTGGCTAATCCGGCTATTCCTTCCCCTAAAAACGATAAAGAAAGCACCACTTGGAGCACCACTCAGTTTGGGACCTAAGACATGATTCATTATTGGACCTATTTGCTTGGCAGCCCAGTAGGAGCAGCTCGGAAATGACTGATCTTGGGATGGGATTGTCGTGTTCCGTACGAATCCGCAACCGTTCTACTGCATCCCATCCATTTTGCAAAGCCATATCAGAATGTGGCTATATACATCCCAATAAATTTCAAGAGCTAGAAATAATTACATTTTTGGAGATATCCTCATGATATTCCCTTCAAAAATCACCGGCTCTTATTGTGAGCTTCAAAATTTAGCTCCTGATTTCTGTTGGTTTTTTTTGTGAAAAATTCCCCCCTTTTAGCCAAGAGCCATGGCAGGACATGAAGTTCATCCTGGTGGCTGCAACACTGCCTGCCACTGCTACTCCATTGGAGGTAGCCAAGCGGCCAAGCGATGCAACCGGAGAGTGTTTGTTGGGGTTACCATCTGGTTATTTAACATAGCCATGGAAAATGGTCCATTTATAGATGGTTTACCTATTAGAAATGGTGATTTTCCATGGCTATGTTAAATAACCAGATGGTATGTATAAGCACCTTGTACATCTTGTACCAAAAATACATAAAAATACCTAGTTTATTGGTGATTGGCCATATAGAAAACCTATCAAGCAGCTGGGCCCCAGTTATCAGTGGGATAACAACAGGCTTGTGGGATGATCCTCGCTGTGAGAAATCCAAAAAAATCTTTGGAAAGACCCTTGGGTCATAGAAATTTGTGCATTGGATGAATGGATTTCAATGTGCATTGAATCATCCAAGAATGGAATAGAATGGGTAATATAAATATATAAGCTATAAAAATCTTGCCGCTGGCTAGTTTCACATATTTTTGATGTTAAACCATATGATATTTCTCAGAGTGAAACCAGCAATTTGTATAACTTGCGGAAAAGGTATTTGGAACATAGCCATGGATCCCAACTGCTGTCAATGGGACCTCCTTTTTTTGGATCATCCAACTCTAGCAATGACCAGCAATCTGTGAGTCTAGAAGGGTGCCCAAGGACTTGAACTAGACTATACAATGTGGGGCCCCTAAGATAGCTAAGTTGATTTATAACTCCAATAACTATGATTTATGGTACTTATAACTATGGTTAATGGGGTTTAAACAGCAACTTATAACCGGGGGAGGCCACATTGTAAGATCTATTCCCACATGGAGGTTTCCTAAAATCCTGGGTATCCCAATATTCAATAGCTGGATGCTTGATTTCATGGAAAATCCCACCCAAAATGGATGATTTGGGGGATACCCCCGTTTTAGGAACCCCCCCACCATAAATAACAGTGTCCTTGTTTTTACCACACGGGATTTGAAACGAGGAGAATGTCGTCCCATCATCCAGAAGCTTGGTGGGAACGCTGGGCGGCCTTTGAAGGTGAGGCCGCTGCTGTTGCAAATGGTGCGCTTGGCCATCTACCAAATGATACCCTCTGGTAAACTAACATAGCTATTGAAAATCACCATGTTTAATGGGTAATTCCACTATAAATGGCCATTTTCAATAGCTATGTTAAATTACCAGAGGGTAGGCATATAGGAGGCCTTCGACCTTGGCCACGGCTGCAGAAGAGAGAGACTTCTGGCGTCCGAGATCGTCCAACCCCCAGATGGGCGGTGAGATCTTCGTTGGTGACCGAGATGTGCCGCTTCGAGAAGGAGCAGACTACCCGGAGGCTTCGAAAGGAGCTTTAGAATGGCCACAAGCTTTAGGTTAATGAAATCTTATGAATTACCCAGGTGTGTATACGTGTATATGTATATGTGTGTGTGTACATATTGTTACTGTCATTATTGATGTGATTATCTAGCAGCCTCCTTAGTAACAGGCATTATTGATGCATTCTATTTAGACTGTCCTTGATTGGTTTGTTTTTTCCTTAGATGTTCTTTTCCTTTGTTTCTCTCTTGGAAACCAAAGGAAAACAAAGGAAACCAAAGGAACACCATAGAATCCACCCAGCCCCAAACCAAAGGAAACCAAAGGAAATCAAAGGATACCACAGGATACCAAAGGAAAAATGAGATCATCTAAGAAGAACTTATTTTTGTTAGTTCCTTTGTGTTTCTTGTTGTTTCTTCCCACAATGAAAAGCCATATTTCGGTGCAACGCATGCGTTGGAAAGGTTGACACTGGCCCAGTTTTGGCCCATACCTTGATGAAAATGTGGAAAACCAGAGGTTTTCAAAGGAAAGGGCAGGGTCAGAGGAGAACATCGGATCATCGTAGCCCTGCTGTGAAGAATGAATGTTCCAGTGATCTTACTAAAGAGTTCCTACGAGATTACATCATGTTCACCATGTTCTATTGCTATTGCAGTCTATGCTTACAGTCTATGTTTACAGTCTATGTTTAACATATTTTCCCTCTGGTAATTTAACATAGCTATTGAAAATGGCCATAGAAATAGTGGATTTTCCCATTAAAAATTGTGATTTTCCATAGCTATGTTAAATTACCAGAGGGTACACCCCAAAAAAAAAACTCCAGAATCGTCCCATGGTCTGACCCCGGACATCCGCGAAAACCGCCAGGGCCAATCAGCAGCTCCCAGCAATGCACTGGTGATTTGCCGCTGCGCCGCCTTGGTGAGGCAGGTGAAACTGTGGGGAGATCGAAAGAAAATCCTCAGATGTAGCTGATGTAGCCTCAAATGGGAGGAGAAAGCATCCAAAATGCTGATTGAATGGGATATATTGGGGATATACTGAGTATATAATGACGGGATGATATTTGGGAAATGGGATATACTGGGATCAACTCCGGTGTGGCGCCACGCCCAAGATGGCCAGCAAACCCTTCTGACTGTTGGTGGTTACGATTCGCCCCGAAACTTACGATTTTTGTTGAAGGAGTCGCCTGGCCGAGTGGGGTTGCTTGGATTTCCATGAGCCAGAGCTTATGGCAATCATGGTGGCAGAGGTGTTTATATGATTTCACTGTCGCAACAAAGTGATGGTTTTAAGCAACGAAAATGATGAGAGAAGCATCAGAACGCTGGATGTTCGAAACAGCAATGACCCAGTTCCAAAAAGTCATTTCTTGGATATGTGCAATACTTTCCACACATTAAGCTGATTCCCCAGAGCTAAAGATAATTTCAATGAAGCAGAATGAACTGATGATGCGGGTGGGATGGGTTTGGACTGGGGTATATACAATGAAATATTCCACCTTGCGACATGAAGTGCCATGTCACGTCTCAGATTGGGCCTTAATCCCTTCCTCCTAATACTAAACGTCCCCCTAATACTAAAAACAGGCATCCATCTCCAATTTCCGAAAATTTCAGTTTGGCCAATTTGACTTTTAATTGATCCCCTTTAAAAAACAATTCAAAAATCAACCTACCATTTGTGGGTTCTCCCCCCTAATACTAAAAACTAATTCATCCCGGGGTGTTTAGTATTAGGGGGGCTAGTCCTACTCCCCAAATCCAAGCTGCCTGGCTGGTCTAGCTGCCTGCATGTTTTGCTGCAAGGAACTGTCTGGCTGCTTGAAAAGCCACCCCTCTGCCTTGCTGTCTGCAAGGTCTTGCTGAGCTGGCTGGAGTCTTGAATTTGGAAGATCCCATAAACACCTATGTTAAGGGTTTCCCTTAATTTTAGGGGGTTAAAAAACAAATTCAAGACTCCAGCCAGCTCAGACAGAAAGGCAGCCAGCCAGGGATGCCTTTCTGTCTGAGCTGGCTGGAATCTTGAATTTATATTTCCCATCAAAACAACAGCAATTATTGGTAATTATTTAAAGGTGACCCATGTAATAAGTTAATTACTTTACTATTATTCAAGATTCCAGCCTGCCTCTCCTGCTGCTCCCTTTTCTGTGCTGTCTGCTGGGAGCTGTCTGGCTGCCTAGCTGCTCAGCTGTCTGAGCAGCAGAGCCAGCACCACGAAAAAGGGACGCCTGCCTGTCTGAGGCGCGTCAGCCACGCCTGTCTGGCCACTGCCCATCTGTCTGTCCGCGTCTGCATCTGCTGGCTGTGTCTGCTGACGTCTGCCCCGAAGCTGTACCAGCTGTCCTGAGAGAAGTCTATATATGTGTATATATATAATTATATATATATATACTGTTGGGACAATAAGTAATATAATGAGGAGGTGGATGTAGGAGGAGATATATGTATATAATTCTGACTGTGTAAATATTTAATGATGGCAAGGTAATTAAGGAATTATTGGGGGATGCGCATTCTTCGCTGCCTGTCTGATGGACATCATTGCTGCCTAGCTGCTTGGCGGTGCTCCATGCAGCACACCTTTTTCCCCACCAAGTGGAGTTCTTGCTGGATGTCCTGCAAGCTGGTGAGAGCTGCCTGCAGGACCTGGGTCTGCTGTTCCTTGGCTGCACAAGTGGCTCAGCCAAAAAAAAGAAAGAACGCTAAAACAGCTACCTGTTGTGCTAATCACTGCCTGATGATTGGAGATCTGACTTGTCTGGCTGTAAATCACTGGCTGAGGATTGCAAAGGTGCGGTGGCTCTTGGATGAATCTCCACCTCATGGATGAACCTGCCTGGAGCTAGCTTGGCAGCACAGAAGCAGCAGTTTGAGAAAGGACTTTAGAAAGGGAAATGGAAGGAGGTGAAGTAGTTTTTAGTATTAAGGTCTGGTGCTTAGTATTAGGGAGAACCTGCCTGGAGCTAGCCTGGCAGCACAGAAGCAGCAGTTTTAGTAAGGACTTTAGAAAGGGAAATGGAAGGAGGTGAAGTAGTTTTTAGTATTAAGGTCTGGTGCTTAGTATTAGGGAGAACCTGCCTGGAGCTAGCTGGCAGCACAGAAGCAGCAGTTTTAGTAAGGACTTTAGAAAGGGAAATGGAAGGAGGTGAAGTAGTTTTTAGTATTAAGGTCTGGTGCTTAGTATTAGGGAGAACCTGCCTGGAGCTAGCTTGGCAGCACAGAAGCAGCAGTTTTAGTAAGGACTTTAGAAAGGGAAATGCCAGCTGGTGAAGTAGTTTTTAGTATTAAGGTCTGGTGCTTAGTATTAGGGAGAACCTGCCTGGAGCTAGCTTGGCAGCACAGAAGCAGCAGTTTTAGTAAGGACTTTAGAAAGGGAAATGGAAGGAGGTGAAGTAGTTTTTAGTATTAAGGTCTGGTGCTTACTATTAGGGAGAACCTGCCTGGAGCTAGCCTGGCAGCACAGAAGCAGCAGTTTTAGTAAGGACTTTAGAAAGGGAAATGGAAGGAGGTGAAGTAGTTTTTAGTATTAAGGTCTGGTGCTTAGTATTAGGGAGAACCTGCCTGGAGCTAGCCTGGCAGCACAGAAGCAGCAGTTTTAGTAAGGACTTTAGAAAGGGAAATGGAAGGAGGTGAGGTAGTTTTTAATATTAAGGTCTGGTGCTTACTATTAGGGAGAACCTGCCTGGAGCTAGCCTGGCAGCACGGAAGCAGCAGTTTTAGAAAGGACTTTAGAAAGGGAAATGGAAGGAGGTGAAGTAGTTTTTAGTATTAAGGTCTGGTGCTTAGTATTAGGGAGAACCTGCCTGGAGCTAGCTTGGCAGCACAGAAGCAGCAGTTTTAGTAATGACTTTAGAAAGGGAAATGCCAGCTGGTGAAGTAGTTTTTAGTATTAAGGTCTGGTGCTTACTATTAGGGAGAACCTGCCTGGAGCTAGCCTGGCAGCACAGAAGCAGCAGTTTTAGTAAGGACTTTAGAAAGGGAAATGCCAGCTGGTGAAGTAGTTTTTAGTATTAAGGTCTGGTGCTTACTATTAGGGGGAACCTGCCTGGAGCTAGCTTGGCAGCACAGAAGCAGCAGTTTTAGTAAGGACTTTAGAAAGGGAAATGGAAGGAGGTGAAGTAGTTTTTAGTATTAAGGTCTGGTGCTTAGTATTAGGGAGAACCTGCCTGGAGCTAGCTTGGCAGCACAGAAGCAGCAGTTTTAGTAAGGACTTTAGAAAGGGAAATGCCAGCTGAGGTGAAGTAGTTTTTAGTATTAAGGTCTGGTGCTTACTATTAGGGAGAACCTGCCTGGAGCTAGCTTGGCAGCACAGAAGCAGCAGTTTTAGTAAAGACTTTAGAAAGGGAAATGGAAGGAGGTGAAGTAGTTTTTAGTATTAAGGTCTGGTGCTTAGTATTAGGGAGAACCTGCCTGGAGCTAGCCTGGCAGCACAGAAGCAGCAGTTTTAGTAAAGGACTTTAGAAAGGGAAATGGAAGGAGGTGAAGTAGTTTTTAGTATTAAGGTCTGGTGCTTAGTATTAGGGAGAACCTGCCTGGAGCTAGCCTGGCAGCACAGAAGCAGCAGTTTTAGTAAAGGACTTTAGAAAGGGAAATGGAAGGAGGTGAAGTAGTTTTTAGTATTAAGGTCTGGTGCTTAGTATTAGGGAGAACCTGCCTGGAGCTAGCCTGGCAGCACAGAAGCAGCAGTTTTAGTAAGGACTTTAGAAAGGGAAATGGAAGGAGGTGAAGTAGTTTTTAGTATTAAGGTCTGGTGCTTACTATTAGGGAGAACCTGCCTGGAGCTAGCTTGGCAGCACAGAAGCAGCAGTTTTAGTAAAGACTTTAGAAAGGGAAATGGAAGGAGGTGAAGTAGTTTTTAGTATTAAGGTCTGGTGCTTAGTATTAGGGAGAACCTGCCTGGAGCTAGCTTGGCAGCACAGAAGCAGCAGTTTTAGTAAGGACTTTAGAAAGGGAAATGGAAGGAGGTGAAGTAGTTTTTAGTATTAAGGTCTGGTGCTTACTATTAGGGAGAACCTGCCTGGAGCTAGCTTGGCAGCACAGAAGCAGCAGTTTTAGTAAAGACTTTAGAAAGGGAAATGCCAGCTGGTGAAGTAGTTTTTAGTATTAAGGTCTGGTGCTTAGTATTAGGGAGAACCTGCCTGGAGCTAGCTTGGCAGCACAGAAGCAGCAGTTTTAGTAAGGACTTTAGAAAGGGAAATGGAAGGAGGTGAAGTAGTTTTTAGTATTAAGGTCTGGTGCTTACTATTAGGGAGAACCTGCCTGGAGCTAGCTTGGCAGCACAGAAGCAGCAGTTTTAGTAAGGACTTTAGAAAGGGAAATGGAAGGAGGTGAAGTAGTTTTTAGTATTAAGGTCTGGTGCTTAGTATTAGGGAGAACCTGCCTGGAGCTAGCTTGGCAGCACAGAAGCAGCAGTTTTAGTAAGGACTTTAGAAAGGGAAATGCCAGCTGGTGAAGTAGTTTTTAGTATTAAGGTCTGGTGCTTACTATTAGGGAGAACCTGCCTGGAGCTAGCTTGGCAGCACAGAAGCAGCAGTTTTAGTAAGGACTTTAGAAAGGGAAATGCCAGCTGGTGAAGTAGTTTTTAGTATTAAGGTCTGGTGCTTACTATTAGGGAGAACCTGCCTGGAGCTAGCTTGGCAGCACAGAAGCAGCAGTTTTAGTAAGGACTTTAGAAAGGGAAATGCCAGCTGGTGAAGTAGTTTTTAGTATTAAGGTCTGGTGCTTACTATTAGGGAGAACCTGCCTGGAGCTAGCTTGGCAGCACAGAAGCAGCAGTTTTAGTAAGGACTTTAGAAAGGGAAATGCCAGCTGGTGAAGTAGTTTTTAGTATTAAGGTCTGGTGCTTACTATTAGGGAGAACCTGCCTGGAGCTAGCTTGGCAGCACAGAAGCAGCAGTTTGAGAAAGGACTTTAGAAAGGGAAATGGAAGGAGGTGAAGTAGTTTTTAGTATTAAGGTCTGGTGCTTACTATTAGGGAGAACCTGCCTGGAGCTAGCTTGGCAGCACAGAAGCAGCAGTTTTAGTAAGGACTTTAGAAAGGGAAATGGAAGGAGGGAAATGAAATGCACAACACATTCCAAAAAAGCACCTCTCTCCAATTCAACTGCCTCTGTCAACTGCAACTCTCTTTGCTGCCAAGTTGCTGTCTGGACAGCCAGCTGCACCAAGGCTGCCTGGACCTCGGCTGCCTGGCCCGCTGCTGCCTGCTCCCCCTGAACTGGCTGGCCGTTTGCGTTCATGGCTTCTGAGGCTGTCTTACTGACTTGCGTCTGTTGGCGCTGGCTGCCTGTCTCTGTGCTTGAACCAACAAGCCATGGAAGCTGACTGTCTGTGCACCTGACCCACTGGATGCTGGATAAATACTTACACATTCTAAATAGTTACTAATTACATATAATTACACATATAGTTATTTGATTACATATATAAAAATTATGGATTCTATTATCTGCCAAATAAATCTTATTGCCAGCATAATTATGAAAACCCTCATGATTACTAATTACATATACACATATAATTGATTGTACATCTATTTACTTATTTGTAGCCATCATGAAGCCCTCATGAATAATTATTACATATACACGAATGAAGTGATTATATATATACTTTTATATACATATGCATCTAATTAATTAATTAGAATTATTTAGAAATCTTTATAAAATGAATAATCCCTTCCTCCATTCTAATGCATTAATAACTAATTAACATGACTTCGATTTGGTTCCCTAATAATAAATACCCCCCTAATACTAAAAACTACCTGCCGTGTTTTGTATTAGGGGGGGGGGTTAGTATTAGGAGGAAGGGATTACAAGCTGGCAACATAAACAAAGCCTGCAGAAACTTAGGGAAATCCAATCAACTAGATAATTAGATAGTAAATGGCTATGGAACATTACCATTTTTAGGTAAGTCATGGTAGGTTGAAAAAAAATGGTACGTCATCCATCACCAACAAAGAGGATACCACAGATCCCAAGCGATGCCGCAGGGGATCCACTTTGGAGATGAGAGTCACAGTGAAGGCATACCAAAAGGACCGGAGATGGGACCGGAAATGGACCGAGTGGGGAGTTCAGCCGTAAGAATGGTGATATGTGCGCAAAAAAAAATGCGATGATCAATATTGAACCCAACAGTAATATATATACATATATATATATATTATAAAAATACATATAATACATATAATGTATTCCCATGTGTTTGATGATATTCAATCACGTGCTATGTTAATATTGTGAAGATCAAACATTGTGCGATGGTCAAGTTAGTTGGACTGCTCTATTGCAGTCCTTGGGGGATGCTAGTCAATCCATCAATGGCCATTTCAGGAACCTAAATTGGAGGTACCTACCATATATAAGGCCTATATAAGGCCTATGTAAGGGAATATCCCCACAAAATATGTCCTTATATGGTACAGTACCTCCATTTTAGGATCCTGAAATTCCCATTGAATCCATTTTCATACAGATTTATATACCAATTCTATCTGGGCAAAATATCACGACCTCACTGCAACCTCAGTATGATGGTTAATAAGCTGAATTATATATACCCCAAAATTGCCTTAGTTCAGGTTAGTGAATTACTATAGTTTACCCAGATTAAATACCCATTATAAGGACTCCCATTGTGTGATGGATGATCAGAAACCATATACCATGTTTTGACCCTAGCACACATTTGTGGGAATATCAATATGATGTTCAGATAGAAAATTGGATAATCAACAATATGAGGCTTTAGTTTTCTCCACGAGCAGGAGATACTCCCAAATAGCCATCAAATAAATGTGAACATGTTGATAAACCAGATAAACCATGACACTCGCCATTTTTTCAGAGAAACCCAAATTGTGAGGCGAGCATGGTTTCCTTTCCACGTGGTCTAGGGATCTTTGATAGAATGGAATAGAATGTGGATACCCTCTGGTAAACGTTTACATAACTATAGAAAATCACCATGTTGACTAGGTAAATCAACTATAAATAGGGTATTTTCAATAGCAAACTGTTAAATGACCACAAAGTATCGAGAGTGGGTCCAATGAACATCTTTGATTCACCAGTGATTTGGAAGATCAAACCAGTGATTCCAGCAGGACCATCACCTGCCATCCCTCAGATGATCTGCCCCCATCAACAGGACGTGGCAGATGAGATTTGCTCACAACTTGCAACTCGTTGCAGGGCGGATTTCTATACGTTGGAAACACTTCCATAGCCTGCAACAGTGGCATAGTGTTTGTGCCTCTTTCTGTATGGATTTTCGCATTCAAATTGTCATTTATATAGGGTATCACCCTATGTTACTGATTTTTGATCGGACAAGCCATAATATCATTGCTGATTGCCATGTATAGCCGGATATTTGAGGTTAGTTTACTGCATCCCTCTAACTCTGCATGTTTCAGCCACGAGAAGGAGCGCCTTTGGGATTGCTATTCATGGCAAGTGGCAGCAGTAAACCTCGCCTTATACAACATGGTTGATTCATGACAATTTATAGGAAACCATTGTTCTTTGAATGCATTAGGTGGGGGGTCACCTGCAGATTTTCCCCTCACCGCTGGCATTTTTCATGTGCTTTCTCTGAAAAATGTCGATGGGGTTTTGCTCTCCCCTTTGATTGAAAATATGATTTCCCTGGATGTTCGCTCGTAGCAATCAACAAACGAAACAGTTCAGCCTAACACCTGCACTTGTCTACAGCACCATATATTTGTTCCAACACCCAAATTTGTGGCTTCAATCCGGATATTGATATTTTCAACCCCATGATTAGTGATTCAATGCCAAAAATTGTTGCCAAAAGGTTTGTTGTTCATTTTAAGGGCAAAGTATTGAATCCTAATCTTTGCTGCTCAAATTTCCAAGTGGTGTTGATGGTATACCCAAAGAGCATAGCCACAGACCTAGAAGTTTAGATCTTTGGTACCTTCTGGTAATTTAACATATATAGCTATTGAAAATCACCATTTTTAATGGGTAAAACCACTATAAATGGGCCATTTTCAATAGCTATGTTAGTTTACCAGAGGGTAGATCTTTGGTATTGGAAGGGGTTACTGAACATTCACCGCCAACGAACAGTGAATCTCACCTTTCTGTGACACAGGTAACAACTTTCCGAGAGCTCATTGAAGGACGCCTTGCATGACAGGTGTGGGTGGGTGACAGGTGCGGACAGGGGTCCCCAAAAGGACTTTAAGAAGTTGTTATTGGATGTTGTAGATATTGACATGACGATGAAATGATGATGAAATCACCTCATATTTTCCTGTTTGGGGACTATGATTATCCAGTGATGATTATCACCTCATACCTGATACCCTCTATGGAAAATCACCATTTTTAACGGGAAATTCACTATTTCAATGGTGATTTTCCATGGTTATGTTAAAGCACCAGAGGGTAGTGAATATCCAGGTGTCCAAGTTGTCTACCTATTTTGGTGAGGATATGCTGGATCTGCATCCATGCAGGTGTTCAGTAAAAGATGGTGATATAGCGGGCACGAGTTGCAGGTGAGGAATAAGTAATCATGTTGATAAAGCAATAGTAGTAAAATAGTAAACAAATCCCAATTTTAGCATTTTTATGGTTGGTATGTAAAGCATCAATTTATATATGGTTGGTTTATGGCATTGCTTTACTAACAGCCCACAAAAATGGGAGTGGGTCATCAAGTGGAGACCCTATTCGATGGGGCTCGCCACTACCCAAAGATACCACCTATGCTTCGTTTGATTTAGTTGAAAACGTGGTTCAACAGATAGTAACTGAAGACTAAGATTTTATAAAATGAGGAAGATGTTTATCTCCATAGTTTTTCAAATGGAGATGGGTCCAAACCAATGAAATTACCATATTTTGGGGCGATACACATCCAGTAACCAGCTATTTGAAGGTACCATCCGGGTCCCAGGCAGCATTGGAGCAGCCCCATGCAGACGAAAAATCGCGGCCCCTTTTTGGGTGAAACGACTCTGAAACCGGGGCAGATAGGTTTGTCTGAAAATTCTGAGAGAAACCGTCAAATTTGATTGTTAATCAATGTCAATCATGGTAGAGGGATCTCATGATATATCACTGGATAGGGATAATATTAGGATATAACTGATATCATGGGAATGTGGAATAGATTGTTATGTTTGAATATGTTTGATGGGTTCACCATAATTTCAGACCTGGTTTTCCAGCCTTTGCCTTCCCAAATTGACCCAAATGATTCTGGATATGAAATATGTGGGCAAGGGGGTCCTTAGTTCATTTAGTTTTGTGCCAATCATTTCGCAGGTGCTGAAACAACTCCAGTTTACACTCAAAGGCAAACAATTTTTGATGTATTGTGCCTGTGAACATGCATTTTCAACCATGTGGACATGTGGAAAGTATGTCGACGCGAGCATAAAAGCATGCACTTCCCAGCTTTTCCCCAAAATTGTCCGAAATCGAATAGGAAATGCAATGATATATGCATGTGTTGTGTTTTTCGCCAAGCTGGTTTCATTGGGAACGCATGACATGGACACAGTGGAATGTCCCAGATACATTCAACTATCGCATGACATCTGGTGTTTCAGTTGCGGCTCCACAGGTCAAATCCTAGTGCATCTCAACTCAATCCCCATGCCCCAGGGCCATACCCACTGGTAATGACTGTTACAGTTTGCTATTGAAGCCATGGCCCATAGAAATTGTTGATTTACCTTATTAAAGATGGTGATTTTCTATAGTGATGTAAACGTTTACCAGAGGGTATTAGGCCCCATCCTCAGGCAAGGTACACATACTGTATTTTTTCATGTTCCTTTTCGGAAGAACACCGACAAAACATGAAAACAATGTTTTCAGATTGTTCAAATTGTTCAATACTTCATCCACTTCATTTTGTTGTTTCTTTTCTAGAATGATAATCACGAGAACCCATACGACCAAAACCGACATGGTCAAAGACCAATTGTTGTTTCGTGGTTTCCAGCAAGATGGCCCTTTTCCGTTGCATATTGGTCCTGCTGTTTCCGTGTGCGTTGGGGGTTGCTTGGCAGATTTGGCAGGGGAACTTGAAGAATTAAAATGCCCTTTTTTTTAAGCGCGGGGTTTTCTGCCCAGGTTCTTTTTTGAAAAGCTTGTGGGTTGCGGGACCCCCCACAATACAAAGACAAAGATAGCGGCGCAAAGGTAGAGTGTTGTTTGGCAAGACCATGGTTCATCGAAAGGGATTGCAAAAAAAAAACACTTAAAATTCAGCGTGGTGAAGAATTATTCTATTCAACTATTCATTTTCGGATTGTCCGGCCAGCATGTTCGGAACATGTTTGCGGGTCAGAACGACCAAAGCCCAAAATTTGGGGTTGATGCACATCTCAACCTAGTTTAAGAACGCTCATTGTTTGGGATGTTCACCCACGCTACAAGGAATTGGTGTTTGCTCAGTTTTCCACGCTGCCAAATTCACTTTCATATAGAGCCAAGTGTACCTACACTGCCATCCAAAATTCTAGGCTCATCTCCAGCCTTGTATGAGCAGTTTAATCCTTTTGTTTTGTGTTATGAATGGGAACTAACATAAAATAACCATAACCAGCAAAAGATCATTCTTGTGGACTTCAAGAAAACATCCATTGTTTTATGGATGAATTTGGTACTGAGGACCTTGTAGGATGCCAAAATTTGGGCCTCAATATAGGTGGTCGTTGGTCGTTGGTATGTGGTGGTAATCTTAGATTTTAGCCGTACCTGAAATCATCGCAATGGACAATCCCAAAATGAATGGTTTAATTTCATGTTGTTCTATGTACCCTCTGGTAATTTGTTACATAGCAAACTGGAAAATCACCATGCTTTTTATTGGGTAAATCAACTATTTCGACTGGGCCATTGTCAATAGCTTTTTGTATGTTTACCGGAGGGTAAATGTCACGCATTTTCCAGCCATCCGTGTTTGATGATCAGAGAATTACCCTCTGGTAATTTAACATAGCTATTGAAAATGGCCATTTATAGTGAGTTTCCCCATTAAAAATGGTGATTTTCCATAGCTATGTTAAATTACCAGAGGGTAATATTATTCATAGTGCATCGTGTAATTTCTGCCTTGATAACTTGGAGAAGTAAAATGTACGATGGATATAGATGTGGGTCAAAATGGAAGACCTAGGGGACCACAGATGTGAATGTCTAGTTTAGTATTAACCATCCATAATTTTGGGGTACCTAATTTTGACCCATACCCATATGTCTAGATGTTTATTTGGAATTATCTCGTAAAGTGATGAATAGTTGGATTTACAATTACTGGTTGGTGCTTTGGAACATGAATTTGTTTTTTATTGGGAATGTCATCATCCCAACTGTTACTCACTCCATCATTTTTCAGAGGGGTAGGTATACCACCAACCAGAAATATCATTGATAAACCATATGGTTCAAGATCATTAACCATATATATTTCCATATGTTATCCATATATTAACCATATATTAACCACCAACCAGACTTGGTTTCACTACAATAAAGCAATAGGTGATTCAATCAGAGACCATCACCATCGGCGCTGGCATACTGAGGCTGCCTTGAAGAAGAATACCAAGGCATACAGGTGCCGGCTCCGTTGACTTCTGAGATCTGAGCTTTGATGGCCCAATTTGAATTTTGGACAATATAAAGAGGTTTAGACATGTAGCAATTTATAACTGGTTATATAATGTTATATAGGTTATTTATCTTTATAACTTATAACTATAAACTATAATCAGTTGGGTTATGAGGTTTGGATAGCTGGGAATGCGATATTGGCCCATTGTATGTCACTATCCAGGAACGGGTTATGGTATACCTTATTGCTATGAGGATGGGTCAAGATATGTCAAGATTCTGCCCTGCATAATTGGATGGGCAATAAATGGTAGCCATTACCAAGAACAAATCAAAATCTTGGTTCTCCTCAGTTCGGAATTAAGACCCATCCTCGTTTAATAGGCGTTCAAAATGCCTTACAGAACTGACTGCTAGTTTTCAAGTTTGTTTTATCATCCCCAGCCAACTAAATTATAAATAGGTAGAAACTAACCCTTTTGTTTTTTGGTTATAAATGGAAAAGAACCATATTCACCATATCCAGCAAAACGATGACAATTTTATGTGGACAAGTTTTTTTTTGCATGTTTTCTTGTCAACCCCAAGAGATGATTTCAACATATTTCAACTCGACTTTGGTAAAATAAGTTTAATTGATTTCAACATTTCATTGATTTCAACATTTCATGTCTTTTACCGAAGTCGACATTTATTGATTTCAGCCCATGTTCAGGATGTTAGCTTGTGATGCCTGCCGCATTGTCATGGAAAAGACGGAAGACTCAGATGGATTTTTTTGGCTGATCCTTTGCCATCTTGAGCTTGGAGCTTGAAGGGTACCACATGGTAGCAATACCGTTTGGTTACCCTCCGGTAAACATACAAAAAACTATGGAAAATCACCATTGTTTATGGGTAATTCAACTATTTCGACTGGGCCATTTTCAATAGCTATGTTAGTTTACCGTTTGGTTCTTTAACCTAGCTATGGAAAATCACCATTCTGGATAGGTAAAGCATCATAAATCCTCTATAAATGGACCATGTTCCATAGCTATGTTAAATAGCCAGAGGGTAACAATTAAAGGATTAATGATCGGTTAAAGGGTAAAAATCGTAAGGGTTAATTGTCATTAATTAATTATGCCTTCCTGGTGCTATCTTTTTGGTTTTTGCCTGGAACAGCATTTATTTTGATCGTTGCTGAAAAAAAGACACCGCTGCCTTCAAAAAACGTTCTTGCTCCAATGATTAAGAATAGCCAGGTTGAAAGGAAACCAACAAGCCTGTTGCAGGTGATCAATTGGAAACAAAACGGATTGACATGGTTTGCATGGGTTGTGAGCCCTCGAATTGCAACCTTTCGTACCATTTGACTGATGCGGACATCAACATAAAACACCCAAAACTTTCCAAAACTGTGGCACGGGTAAAAAAGTGTTTGTATCGGGAAGAAACGCTTTTGTCTCGGGAGAAAAAACCATTTGTATTGGCTGAAAGCGCCGTCACTAAAATAGCTTTGCCACGAAGGCCCATCAACAAGCGTTAGTTTCAGCTCAGCACAGAGCTGCTGTGGCTCAATGTTTGCTTTCCAAAAACGTTTGGTAGCGACTTCATCTATTTCCAAGTGAAACTCGTGTGGGATTTGGATTTCCTTGCACAATGGGTCTGTGCTCAAAACGAACAATGGATGTAAATGACAAAAAATATGCAAAAATGCCAAAAGAGGTCCGAGAGCAGAACTGAAGATAAGTGGGGCAGAAAAGCAGTTCTGACAGGAAAAGCAAAAATAAGAAATTAGCATGCGAGAAGCAGAAGCCCTAGGGACATATATGTCATTATTGTGATTGTTATTGTTATTCTTATTGTTACTGTTTTTATTGATGGTTATGATTGTTTGACTGATTTTATTATTATTGTTATTTTTCTTATTCTTAGCGTTATTATTGTGTTTATTGATTGTTACTATTCTCAATCATCTTCTTTAGCAGGGTATCTAGGGTCAATGTCGCCATGGTCCTAGGGTAAGGTTGCTTTAAATCAGGAAGAACTTAGCCAGATTTATGGTATTGAGAGTTGTCTTTCTTCAATGGATTACATGACACACAATAATTAGACCCCATTGATATATTTGTTCAAACATATGTGCGGATATGATGATAAACTACTACAAACACTTGAGATATAACGAGGAAAAGATCCAAATTTGCTGGCCGGCTGGTGGTTCACCAACTAGTTGGTGAATTTCCCATTTCGGGGTAAACCTTGGATGGAAGGCAACCAGTACTTTGATCTGTTGCTTGAGAAATTGGGATGTACCAACCAGTTGATGGCTTTTCCAGGCTACCTAAGGCAGGCAATGCGGCAATGTTGATAGT